TGATAAAATTAAGCTAAATAAGAGTATGGAGGACTTCAACAATCTTCATCATTGTCACAAGTTCTTAAACAAAAATTTAACATTAAATGGCTGGTGGACAAAGAAAGAAATACCAATTATTACCATGTTTGGGTTTAATCAGTGAAGATAACCAGCAAATTTATCTGTAAAAGCTAAAAATTAGGTTTCTTACCATGTGTTTGAAGAAGAATTTAGGTTTGGATCATTCTTTAACCTTTAGTAAAGTTATGTTACTAAGGTTATGAAAATTTAGATGGAATAATTCAATACTCTAATTTTGTGCATGCTAAGTATTGCTCTTTAAAACAACCATTTCTTATTAAAATGAAGATGATTGACCCTCTAGTATGGAGTAGACTATGTTATTAAAGAGAGTGTAGAGAATTTTATCTTTGCAATTGAGTAAATGGAACATTTTCTTTTAGTATAATAGATGGATCGATCTTTTTGGACTGGCTAACTTGAACATTTGTTGTCCCAAACTCATGGTTGACCGTTTCTTTAAGAAAGTGGAGTGGAATAAATCTTTACTAGTTAGTATTCTTCCATTTACCTAAACGATGATTATGATAATCCAACTTTTAGAACAATGGCGTTGAATGCACCTTTTCTTTTAAAGATACTAGGAAAACTATAAGTACAAATAAATCCAATCTTACTCTAGTTTTCTTTTGGAATAAAGCTATCCGCAATTACCCCTCCTCCATATTAATGTGGAGGTTCCTAAATAGTTTCATTCTGGTGGATAATACTTTGCAAAATAGAGACATTTCAGTGGCTTCTAAATGTCACAATTGCATAAAATTAAAACCATTCCACATGTTTTCCCTCATAATGCGGCAGCTTCAAATATTTGAAATCATTTTGCTAACTATTTTAACATAAACTTTTTTTGTAATGATGGCATTCACTCTTAGTGTCATAAATGGATGAATTGCCACAAAAATGGCAACCAATGGCCATATTCCAATTACTATGTTGTGTATTATTTTTTGATGTTATAGAATGCTAAAAATTGAGTAAAGTAATCATAAGTTTAAAATGGATTAGCATCAGTTAATTTACTCTATCAACAAATAGATTAATCATCTAATAGCTTCTAAATTAATTAGTTCTAACTATTTCAATGGGGCAAATAATTTTGCCAATATTTTATGTTTTTAACCAACTAACAATAGAAAGCACATTGCTATCGTTGTTACTTGGGTTAAACTGCCTATAGGGATCTTGAAACTCAACATTGACAGGTGATCCAAAGGGTTTAAGGATTTGGTTGCATGTAAGGGCACCCTTAGAGGTACTAAAGGAGATGTTATCTACTTATCTTCTCCTTTTATAGGTTTATGGGTAATGTATCCTCTATTAAAGCGAAGTTCATGAGTGTGTACGGGTTTAGAATATTATATCTCAGCATGTATCAATAAAAGTTACATTGAGATTGATGAGAATATATTGATTAAAGAAATTTCAAGATAATGTTCAATGTAAGTGGAATGTCTTTACTATTGATGGAAGATTAAACAACTCCTCTTATTTTGCAACAATAACATCAGGCATACTTTCAAAAAGCTAGCCAGGTCACCAATCAACGAAGTTAAAATTTAATGGATAAAGTTTCTGTTAACTCTTAAGTGGGATTAAAATTTTGGAAAAAATGCATTACCAATGCATTAGCTTATGTCCCTCTTGTTTTGTGTTGCCTTTATATTATTTAAGCATTATCTTTTGATTGTTCAATTAGTGTTTGGGCCTTCAGTTGTATGTGTTTTGTGGTCAATGGAATGTGGCCTGATTTCATTATCATTGTGGTCTCATGTATGCTTTATTAAAGTTGAATCTATGTTGCAATTAATTATAGTTGTATTGGGGTGCTACCGTTGTTTTTCTCCAACTCCTGAAATCCTTTGATTAGTAGGGTGGTTTATTTCGCTCTAGAGCTCATTACCCATATGTCATTGAATATTGATCATTGTTGCTATAGTATGGTGGCTTGCGTCTTTTGCCTGTAAGGTGCTCGCGAATTACAATAGGTCCTTAGACATTGCTCTTTTCAAAGTTACTTTAATTGAAATGGGTGAATTGCTCATAGTTCTACAGCATTCTCTTCATGTGATGTAAACTTCAAGTAGGAGCCTTTGACGGACTGTTATTTATTTTGGAGCATGAATATATTATACTTCTATGGTTCACACTTATATGATGGATTCCTTTTATCAGTCTTATCTCTTTGATTTGTAGTGATTGTGTTAGTTCTATGTATTTTTGGCTGATGGGTGGTGGTTCAATTTCATTATGATTATCAGTTAATGTCCACAAATAACATAAAAAATGAAGGAAGTTCTCCCAAAATGCTCAACGAGTCATATTTTGTGGCTCACCAAAGTTTGAAAGCTGAGGAAGAATATCTTCATATTTGCAAACTTCAGGAAGCCAAATTGTAAAAGTACAACTTCCTCACAACTTCACGCAGCCAAGTAAGCATAAAGATCAAACACGTCACACCAAAATATAGCTAAGTCATGGATAACCCATCTTAGCAAGCAATAAAAACAATCGTAATAAGAGATGCACACTTCATATGTTTAAAGAACAAAGTTCTAAAGTCCAATCAAGTGGCACAAACCAAAGATATATTCTCAATTTTTTTCACAAGTCATGGTAGAACCAAGAAAATTCCCTTACTGAAAATGGCATCAAGTTGAGTTGAGTACTATTACCAAAAGTGTGATAAATTAAATCACTAACTCCACTTCCTTCGACAAATCTACAAGCATCAATTAATGATTGAGGAAGGTATGTATATCCTTCAATAAGTCCAACAAAGCACATGGAAAGGAGTGAAGTAATGTTTCTCCTTCAATAAGTACAAAAAAGCATAAAACATAGCATCAGATGGCAATCCCAAAGCTCATTTAGAGATTGTGGTTAAATTAGAGGATCATATCATCAACAATTCCATTAAGGCATAAAGTATCGGACAAACAACAATTTATCATCAACTTGGCACAAGCCTCGAGGGCAAGATGGTGCACAACCTTTGCCAAGTCCACCATAGCACAAAGCATAGGACAAAATGCATGCTAATTTCAATTGATTCTCTAGCAAAGCCAAATTTAGTTAATCATTCACAAAATACATTAAGCAAAAAGAGTTGCATAGGAAGGATACTCCATCTAGATCATGTAAGGCTTATGCCTAAATTTGACTTCACGTCATTCAAGTTAAACTTGAAAAAGCACTAAATTGATATATATCCTTCAGCTTAAAGGGGCTTGTTAGTAGAAAAAACTTCAAGTTCTGAAAACACTTGATAATAGTAAGTGGTGTAATTTTATTTAATTTTACCTTAGAAAATTGTTCTCATTCATTTATTTATGCCTTTTGTGAATAAGACACAAGGAAGAGCTTTCCCATGTAATAGTGCAAAAGTAATGAAATCCATAACATTGAGAATTAAATCCTAAAGAAGTGACAAAAGGAATTCTATATTGAGGAAGGCGAGATAGAAGCAGAAGTGACAAAATGAATTACATATCAAGGCAGACAAAATAGAGACCAGAATCCCATAAAAAGAGGTGAAATGGAAAAACATCATTTATGGCAAATCAATAAAGCAATCTAATAGTGAAACTTGACTAAGTATGTTTTATAAAGCTATTGAAATAGATTTCATGTACTTTGGGGAATTTAATTTTTAAAGGAAATGTGAAGCAGATAAAGAAGATCCATATCACTATTCTTTTTTGTTTTTTTACTTCCTCGTGGCTCATGGATGGAATTATAGTTCAGTTTATAAAGGGGTTGATAGCTAGAGGTTAAGGATGTAAAATAATGGTCTTTATTTTGGTTAAAGACAAAGATCAAGAGCCTTGCTTTATTTATGATTTAATGAAATAAGATTAACCAAATTTCTATGCATGAGAGAATAGGGATGTATTGACTCGATTTGCATGAAGTGGGTATGCTTTTGAAAAATTGGTAGTTTGGCAAAAAGTTTCATAAAAGAATGAAAATTAGGTATATAATGTTATTAAAATTTAGGTAGATATTATTTCCATTTTTTTAGGCACAACATGGGGAAAGTCAAAATCAACTTGAATTTCAATTTCAAAATAATCATTTATTTTACAAGGATAGGTTGGAAAATTTAAAAGGAGGTTTAGTCTTAATTTTATGAGAGGGAAAAAGTTGAGTGTAGTGTACAATAAGGAGAGAGAAATGGGGATTGGATATATTATAAGGGGGACCTTTGAAAGGTTATCTATTGGTTTAAAGTTTAAAATTTGGGATAAGGCTTGGATAGGGCAATGGCTAGGTTACTTATGAGTCAGAGAAGGCCTTCTTCAAAAGAGGACGAATTAATAACTATTGTCAATGGCCTAATAATAAAAAACAAAAAGCACATACCATTGAAAACTTCATGGATACTTAGCACCAACCTTCATCACAATGCAAATCAAACTTATACTATTATTGATATGATTCCAAAGATGAAGTTCAGCTTTTATAGCAATAGATTTAGAGTCACAATGGAAGATTTTAGAAAACCTTCAAAAAGATTAAGAAAGAGGAAGGAAGAATAAGAAATTTAGAGCATAGCTTAAGAGGAGGGAGAAGCAATGTAAAGCATCAAATATTCAATTCAATAATAATAATCAACTATTTCATGATCCTTTGTCTTATAATAAAATATGAAATAAGATGACACATGGCAATATTGCCCATGCCAATTAACATAAAAAAAAAATAAAGACTAAATATGAAATAACAAAGAAATGCAATGACAAAGACAAAAATGCAATGATAAAATTCATATTTCCAATATAAATAAATATTTTTGGCAGGTATAGATTTAGAAATCCACCTTTGAGAAAACAAAGATCATTTAGTATAATAGAATAAGAAGCAGAGAATATTAACTCATTTGACCAAAAGAGTAATGAATAGTTTAAACTTGAATTTTAAAATGAAAGTGATACCTTTAGGAAAAGACCCAGTTGCATCCTTCCTCCATGCTTTAAATGGTGGTCTTCTCTTAGCTTTTCATGAATAGAATACATAACACCAAAAGAAGAATATGAACTTACAAAAATTAGTCGGAAATTTTTCAAGGCAAAATGTAATACATGGGTATATGCAGTTAACTCTTATTACCCTATTAAATAAATGGCGCATGCAAAGAGGAAATGAAGTGTTGGCTAATTGATCAATGTCCTTTAAGGATATGTCGGTAAATTCCATAGGCTGTCAAAGGCCAACAAATGATGAAAATTAAAGTTAACCATGAACAAGCACGGAGATGTATCAGTCCAGGAGATTTGGAAAACCATAAAAAATAGGAAAAAGAAGTTGAACCACAATAAGTATCAATTTACCTGAGAGTAGTCAGGCCCCAAGTAACTTGAACCTAGTGCTTCAACAATCTAAAATAATAAATAAATCAATAAGCACAATTTTTTGATAAATTTATCTTCTCTTCAGTTTCATGTTTCCGAATTGTAAAAGTACTCACAGGAGTCAATCTATCTTTCTCTTGCTCCCTAATAGTAGATGTCCATTTTCTGCTCAAAAAACAAATATATGCATATAAATATAAGTATTGCAAGGATAAATTTAATGCTTTTTTAATGTGATGTTGTGCATGTGAGTGTGTTTTGAGCACTTGTCTGTGTGGTAAGTTCTATAAACACGACATCTAAGATCAGTACCATATAACTAGAACGAGAAGCACTGAAATGAAGACGTCCAAGCCCACAAACACAGTAATGAAAAACTTTTTTTCATTAAAACTTTCAAAATCATGACCTAGCCAATTTATGATAGTCTCAATTATAAATATTTAGGTAATGTCCCTTACTACTTTCAATTGCATAAAGATCAGATGAAAAAACATAAAATTAATGGTCCAAGTATGCTCGCATAAAACTAAAAAGGAAAACCTATTAAAACTATGTAACTATTTATATCTCTGTTCAAATAAATTTAACCCAATAAGATTTTGTAGGTTGAGTTGGTTAAACAAACGAACTTAAAAGTAATTTCACTGTTAACACACCCATTACTGAACTGACAAATCCATTTATGTGCTTATTGCCTATTCATTCACATTAATATAAATCATCATACACATTTAAATATTTATGGTTGTGTTTAGTTTTAATTATTTATTTATAAATGCTTTGTGTGTGCATTTCAGTTAGAAAGAATTTAAAAAAAAGTATTCTAAGGTGTCACTGCACACGCAATCATCTCACCCCAGACCCTTTTAGTGCGTCTTTAAGCCAACAACCTTGCAATAGATTTCCAGTCAACTCGAAATTGAATCATTTCAAGTAATTCAACTCAGCTCAAAATGATTTTGATTTTGAATCGGGTTCAAATCAAGCTAGAATATAAATTGTCAAGTTCTAGTAGGGCTAAATTCCCTCAAATTCAATCAATATTTTAAAGGGTGGGTCAAGCACTCACATAGCCACACAAGCAAAGTAAGGCAAGGCATAGTGCCTCACATATCTCTTACACAAGCACCATTATTAAGATGTTCTTAAATGATCCTTATACATTAAAGCATTGTTTCAAATTGCACAATATGAGGCTTGTCTCAATATAATTTCAGTGAAAAACGCATTGAGGTTTACGCCTAAAACTTTTTTATGAGACTTACATCTCAGGTTGGCTGAGAGGCATGCCACGCCTCGCTAATGTAAAGCTTACGCCTCACCTTATTTATATATGTTTTTATTAAAATTTACCTAAAACCTAAACTAAAGCCCTGAACAAATCACGTTTTAATACACCTCCAAGCTGCAACAACTTCCTCTCGACTATCTTGACTTCTAGCCCTCCATTTTCTCTATAATTACCACCATCGTAGCCTCCGCTGGGGATCACTTGAAACCCGCACACAACTACCACCTACTCTAAAATTTTAAAAGTATTAATCTCATCTTTATGTTACTGAAAAAAGAGGAAGATGACTGAAATAAATAAAGAAAATGAAAATTAGGAGACATTGGACTCCACATGATGAGAAAATGGAGAGACCAATTTGTTAAGATGATAACTCAAATAAAAACTCCCTCGGTGATTATAGTGTCAATGATTTCTATATTTTTGTCAATAATTTCAATTTTCTTTAGAAATTAATTATGGATTAATAGGGAATTGAGAAATAAGGAATTTGGAGTTGAACTTGATATTATATGATACTATTATATCATTTCTATATTTAATATTATTTTTCTCTTATAATATTTGGATTTCAGTTCTATTTCACGCAATTTATCACTTGTCACTACGTCAAGTGCAATTTTTTTATTTCATATATATATATATATATATCAATTTGTTACTTAATAATTCAATAGAAAATTAAACATGTCATCATTTAACATATTACTTGGATATTATATAAAAAATCACTGTTAACATTTATTTTGACTTAACACAATTTTTTTTTAAGGTTGCCACGACCCTGTCGAAGACTCGAATTAACGAGGGAGAAACGGACAGTCATACAGTTAATATATTTCTACAATTTCACATAAAAGTGAAGTCTAACATTCCAAAAACATTGAAGAGCTACTAACAAATGATACATTTGAAACATTCCTAAAACTATTTTGTATATGTTCTCGTTAGATCGTCATCTTCTATAAATGTATGCCTCTCCTCATTCAGCCATTTCTACTTATCTGAAGACTTACCTGAAAAATTTTGTTTAACAGTTTGAGTTTACATGACAAACTCAATGGATAATCTGTTGACCCCTATAACTCAAACCACGCGAGAAAGGACCCCAATTGGTGAATAAAGCATTACGCACATTCGTGCATTCCGTCACTTGAAGGGTCAAAAGACCTCTGATTGCCAAACGGACGGTGTCGTTGCGATCGGGACGTCAAATTCTATTAGGTCGAGGCCCCTCGCAATTGAATTGGATGAGATCGGTCAAAGGGGCGACCAACACCCGAAATTAAAGTGCGAGGCTAATCAAACGATGTCGGATCGACAAATGGACTTCATCATTGTGTTCAAAACATTGCAAATACTCAAAAACTATATTTTATTTGTTCAATTTGGATCATCCTAATGGGTGATACAAATTCCGAGACAACGCGCATTTCGAAGAAATCAGGCCTCAGCATCACTCGAATGATGTCTGGTCGTAAAATGGACAGCATCGTTGACACTCGTTGTGTCAGGAACATCGATAATACTCTAAATGCACTACCAATTTATTCAATTGAGGTGGTGCACAAAATCGAGACGATCATCATGTAAAAATTATCCTCGGTGTGCTCAAATAACGCCCGATCGTGAAACGGACTGCGTTGTTGTGTTCGGAACACCGACAATACCCTAAATGTACTGCCACTTTGTGTAATTGAGGTTGTGCACGTAAATCGAGGCAGCCCTCATAAAAATTACCCTCGACGTTGCTCAAATGACATCTGATCGCAAAACAGACTGCGTCGTTGCGACCAAAACATCGGCAATACCTTAATTTCACTATTAATTTATCTAATTTTGATGTTCGGTGAATTCGACACGTAAAATGAGACGAATGCACAAGTTTCGAGAAAATCACACAAATCAAGATCATTTTCGTTGATGGACGCATTGCTATCAGTCCAAATTTATGATGTTGCTTATAATAGCAAGTCGTCATTAGGCCCTATCAGCAGATTTAACCCAAGTCAAATGAAAAATCAAAATCACATTAAATGTTCACCTCGTCTTTGTCAAAATCTGCTCTGAATCCTTGTCAAAATCCCATAAATCCTACTCAGTCACTTCTACAGAGCCCATCTCATCATCATTAAAACAAATTAAATGAGGCCCTTTCATTGCTCTGTTCTGCTATCTCCACACACACACGAGGCATAACTCATTTTTTTCACACAATCTTCCTCAGGCCTCTCCCTTTGGGGTTTTCACCAAGGCAACAAATTATTCCTGCTGTAAGGTTTCTCTTCCTCTTGCCCACTCTTTTTCTTCTTACTTGTAGTTCGTGCAAGAGAAGATGAGTGGGAGAAGCAGTTCAAGATACCCCTTCACTGTTTCCCAATGGCAGGAGAGTGAACACCAAGCTCTTATCTTCAAATACATGGCTTCAGGCACTCACTACAAGAAGAAGCTTCCTCCTCCACCTCAAGTTAGCAGAATCCAGCTTCTACCAACTGGTTCTCTTCGGTAGGCCCGTCTCCTCCAAAGTCCACCTCAAGCCTATCTGTCCCTCACACTCAATCCAAAATCCAGCCACTTAACAGCTCTTCTCACGTGGAAAAGAGCTTTATCCAACCGGTTTTTCTCCAGTTAAATCCTAGTTCCCTGTTGAATCCGGTCTCTTCTCTTACCTTCAATCAAACCGATGCCTGCATATGGAACTCCAACGCCTCCTTCAGCCATCCAACTGAGATCTCCCCTCTCTTCACGAGAACCTGCTCCCTTCCTCTGCTCACCCGAATTCCTCCTCCCCCTACACAGCCTCAGACTTGATCTCACTCTCTCTTTTCCTCAAAGTGCAGAGAAGCCACATATCTTAGAGTGGCTTTTATAAACCGCTGTCTTTGCGATCAGAAGAGGTTCCTTAGGGATTTAGATGGACATCACAGATATTCGAAATCAGCTACTGGGTGAAACCACATGTGGTTCATTACTTCAGCAATTGCAGCAAATCTAGGATAAGGTTGGTGAGAGTGATGAAGCACGTGATAAAATTCTGCTTCAAATAGATCATAAGTGCTTGGATGTCTACAAGAGGAAAGTGGATCAGACATCAAAGTCCAGGACTCAGCTTCTTCAGACTTTGGCTGATTCAAGTGTTGAGTTTACTAGACTTCTTTCAGCTCTTGTTGAGAACACTTACGTTGGCATGCCAAAGAAGTCAACTGGCACAATTAAGGAACAACTAGCAGCTATAGCTCCAGCAATAGAACAGTTATGCAAATAGAAAGAGGAAAGAGTCAAAGAGTTTGCAGATGCCCAGTCTCATATTCAAACTACATGTGCAGAAATAGTTGGCACTCTCAGGGTAGGCGAAAAGGTAGGAATGCCCGTGGTTGATGAGAATGATTTGTCACCGAGAAAATTGGATGAGTTTTAATGTCATTTACAGGAACTTCAGACAGAAAAGAGTGATAGATTGCATAAGGAAGAAGAATGTGCGTATATTATATGTGTGTACTTGTATATGTATGGATGTTTAAAAAGAGAGAGAAAGAGGTGATTCAAAAAAAAATGATGGTGATGTGATGATAAAAAAAAGAAAGGAAGCATAAAAATAGAGAGGAATGAAGGAGGGGTTTCAAAAAGTGAATGAGCGGAAGTAAAAAAAAAGAGAAAAAAAAAAAGAGAGGAAATTTTGAGATTCTTTTGCCGTCACCGCCGACCACGAAGGTATAATCACCTAAAACTCATATTTCCCATTCTCGTTGTTCATAGCGGACCAGGGAACCACCTATACGCACTCTCATAGCATGGTAGGAGGGAGCCCGGTGCGACACCTATAACGAGGCGGGTAATCACCTAAAACTCAGATTTCTCATTCTCGTTGTTCGTGGCGGACCGGGGAACCACCTATACGCGCTCTCGTAGCACGGTAGGAGGGAGCCCGGTGCGACGCCTACGACGAAGCGCATAATCACTTTAAATCCCATTTTCAACATTTGCGGCAGACCGGAGAACCACCTATACGCGCTCTCGTAGCACGGTAGGAGGGAGCCCGGTGCCACGCATACGACGAAGTGGGTAAGCCCTATACACGCTCTTGTAGAGTGGTGGGGAGATTCACTTGTGTTCTTCGTACGGTTACTTTTGAAGACCCCATACACGCTCGCGTAGCGTGGTGGGATGGAAAGATATACGGCCCGATGTCCCCCGACACCTACCATACACGCTCGAGTAGCGTGGTGGGATGGCCCAATTTTCCGTGGTTTCCCCTAAATGGGGGACACACCGGGAGGCTGTCGAAATTTTTAGTAAATCATGAACAAAACTTGGACAATTTGAACTTGAGCTCATATTTGTATTTGAGCAAATAAAAAGACTCTAACTCACGTTAAACGATAAATGAACTTGCAAATCAAATGAGATGAAGAAAATTTGAACATTTGAACAAAGTGCAACAAGACTTGATCTGGGACTGCAATGGACATAAACTCGAACTTAACTCAAACTTGAGTTGAACAACAGAGGACTTGAACCAAATGGACTTAAATGAGCTCGAACTCAAATAAATTTGAAAATATAAGATTTGAACTTGATTTGCACCAACGTTTAAAATTGCGCAATAAAAGGCGCGCCTCAACGCAATTTCGTCCATTTAAGCCTCAAAGCCTACGTAATAAGTTTAGTTAATGAGGCTTACGCTTCAAGTTTACTGAGGGGCGCCATAAGGCGCGCCTCGCCTCATATATTTAAGGCGTCGCCTTTTTAAAAATTAATCTAAATTTTTTTTTCAGTTCGGACCCCCAGTTGCCGACGTGGCGCGCCTAGTGAAATGTCAACGTGGCATCAACATTTAAACCCTTGTAAAGGTCGAATGGAGGAGTTGACGTTTCGATTTTCAAGTTACAGTAAACTTTCGAACTTTCAAGCATTCACTCCGGAGCAATTTCAAGCATTTTTCACTCAGTTTCTTCTAAGATGTCGTCACCCCCAAAGAAAAAGGTAACTTAATGCTATGTTTTCTGTTTCGTAATGCGTATTTTATGGTTATGCTATGCGTTGGTGTTCAAGGCTCTAAAGATCTTCGGATTTTATGCTTATTCTATGCGTATGCATGGCTTCTCGAAACTTTTTAAATGTTTGATACTTTGATGCCACCGTGTTTTCTCTATATTCAGGGTTTACGATGAATTTATGTTGAAATTTGAAACATAAAACCTAACTAGATTGCTTCCATTTACACATTTTCTGTGCGTATTTTATGCGTAAACTTTGCGTGTTCCATGCTTATGTTGTGCGTATTTTACGCGTGCGTATAATTTGTTGCCATTTCTTTGCAATGTCCGTTCTTATGCGTATGTCATGCGTACACTATGCCATTTTGAGCACGAGACCCTTAGTGCAAGTACTACGCTTAGTGGATGCAGAGAAGAAACCAGCTATGGGTTTTATTTATAATGCTATGGATGAGGCCAAGGAGTTGATTGCACACAACTTGGGAGGAGAGGAGGCAAGTTATAGGGAGATTTGGGATATCATTGATGCTCGGTGGGAGGTGCAGTTACACCGTCATCTACATGCAGCGGCATATTATCTCAATCCTCAATTTCAATATTCAGAGAAGAAATCTTCAAATCCGGAGGTGAAGCTTGGTCTATATCATTATATGGACAGGCTAATACCGGAGCAGGCAGATAGAGAGCTTGCAGATTTACAACTTGTTATATTCAAGAATAAAGAGGGTTTTTTTGGTTTGAATGCAGCAAAGCAACCATTTCCAAACGTTCTCCAGGTATAGTTATTTTGGTAAATGAAGACACTTTATTCAATTCTGATTTTATTTTTTCTTGAAAACAGTTGAATGATGGATCCAATTTGGTGATTCCACCCCTGAGTTACAGAGTTTTGCTGTAAGAGTGTTGGGCCTCACTTGCTCTTCTTCTGGGTATGAGCGAAATTGAAGTACATATAGTCAAGTGCAAACAAAGAGAAGAAATTGGCTATCAACACTCATAATGAACTCCCTCGTATATATTATGCACAACAAGAGGTTAAGAGAGAGGATGTTGAGGAATAAGGGGTTGAAGGATGATGAGGACCCGTTGGTGTATGATGATGTGTCATCTGATAATGAGTAGTTCATAGATGATGAGACAGATTTGCCATTATCAGACTTACAGCTAGAAGAACTAAGTGTGGATGTCTTGAGGGGCGAAGCAGATCAAGTGGGTACATCCACTAAAACCACACCACACACATCCACTAGCTCTGCATCATAACAATCAAGTAAAGGTATTCAACAACTTCTTATATGCTGTAGCATTATATTTAATTATTTATGTCAAGTGAGCAATTAACATGATAATGATCTTTTCTCTTATTGAACAGGGAAGAGAAAAGTGAGTCATATTGAAGATGATGATGAAATGACATTCATAGATACAATTAGAGAAGAAGATTCCCTTGAAGACCCACTTAGTGATGGGATATTATTGCATTTTATTTGTTCTTTGTACTTTGTGAGTTTTGTTAAACTAATATTTTCATATTTTGTGATTTTGTATTTTGAGGCATGATTTTATTGCATCTACTTTCTTACTTTCCACTATTTTCATATATTATTTAGATGTTTTTATTGTAAGATAGAATATTGCAATTATTTTCCTGCTAAAACCCTTAATTTTTAATTTACGCAATTCTGTGTCCGTGAGGCTTACGCCTCAAACCGCCTCGAGGCTTATTTACGCAATTTTAAACCTTGATTTGCACTTTGAACTCAAACAAGAAAGATAACTTGAGTTGGTTACTTAAACTCAAGTAAGTACTTGATCATGTGCTTTGAACTTGAGCCATACAACATTAAGTGGAGCTTGAACTTGCATATACTGCAGAGAACCAGACTTTGAATTGAAAAGATATGCAAACATAATAGAAACACAAATGATGACTATTAATTTTGGATCATCTAAGTGAACAAGCAAAAGATTGGTTTTAAACAAAGTTCCAAGCATAATTTACTTGGAAGGATCAATCAATAACAAATGAATAAATTATGATTCATGCATAATTTGATTACAAGCTTCAATATAGAGTGTCTTTGTGGACAACAATAATGAACTTGCAAGCAATCATTAACATGGAGCAAATGGAGAATACAATGACATGTTCATAAGCAACAATGCAAACTCTCAATGATATCAAGAGGCCATAGTGTGCTTACAAGTGAAAGTGGAAAGGTTGTAGTGAATACAAACTCATGTGGTGCTAAAAGATATGTGATTCTATAACGCTGCATTCACAAACAAAAGAATGAACCATTATGTATACAACAACTTGCAGCATTCAAATTTCGCAAGCAATAAAAAATCAAAGGAGATTTATAATTTGATCACAATAGAAGAAGCAAAGAGCTTTAGCAAATATATCATCTACAAACATTACATCTGATGTGCAACATTCACATGAATCCTGCAAGCAAGGATACCAGTCTCCAATGTACACCAAAAGCCAAGGCGCAAATGAATATAGCAGTTTGCTAGTTAAGGTGCAAATGATATAATAGTCCACTGATCGATCTGTATGGGAGGATTAGTGAAGAGTACAATAATACCTTTCATTCAACGTCAAAATGCAGGAAAATAAATTCATTTGCAAGCACTGACAAAAGCGTGTGATATCCTGAAGATACAAATGGGAGTTGTTATGAGGATAAAAAAAAGGTTATAAGCAAATACACAAAACCTCCGCAGGCAAGGATAGAAAGATTTGCAGTACATACAAGCTCTCTACAACGACAGATGTATGTGTCATATGTCACTTATGGGTAGATGCAAAAAGACTTCAGTAAATGCAGTATCCTGAAGTCAATTTTAGTTTGTGAAGGAATACATCTACCTGCCTACTTGTAGCAGTGGCGGATGTACTACATGAGACAAATACCACAATAAAGTACATGAAGAATATGACAGATACAAGTTCCCGCGAGCTTCCGTTGGAGCCCCGCTATGAATATTACATACAATCTACGAACAAATGCCACCGGATCCGCAACATGCATACAAGCGGACAGAAGGCGTGTACAAACTTTCAAGTGGACTGTTGCATTCAAATGATGGTTGCCCACTCAATTGATCAAAACTAAATATCTAATAATGCCCTCGCACATGCACCTTAGTTTGTATACACATAGGTACACAAAAGGGCAAATGCAATTATAAAACCCGCATGGGCCCCGGCGAGCGTGTTATTGGTACACACGTGACGTTTAGGAATGCTGCGCGGGTTATTAAATTTGAACCCGAACCTCCTAAGAAGACAAGTAGGAGTTGACAAGGTTCAATAAATAATTATAAAATGCCCCCCAAACACCCGCATGGGCCCCGACGAGCATGTTATTGGTATACACGTGACGTCTAGGGATGTTGCGCAGGTCGATAAGTGAATTCAAGTTCGAACCCGATCCTTCTATACGGATCAATAGAAGTCGACAGGGTTTGAACTCCCAAACAAATACAAGGTTGTGGCGACCGGTGTATTTGTTTTAATACATTCATAGGCCTTCAAGGCTAATAATCAAAAGAATTCACTAAATAATTGCGTGAAGCCTACGAAACCCGATCCTCCTAAGCAGATACATAGGAGTAGACAGGGTTCAAACTTCCGGATAAATATACGGTCACGAATGTGATTGGAATATTTATTTTATACATTCATATCATGCCTTCATGGCCTTTAACAGAGAAAATTCATAAACAAAGGCACAAAGCCTACGAGAAACCCAATCCTCGATCAACAGTTTGGTCGAGTCGACAAGGTTCAATCAACAAATGGAAATGACCCCAAACACCCCGATGATGGCCGTGTTGAATGAAAATCTCAACCGGAGGGGTCCATTCCAAACATCCAAAAATCCAAAAGTCCAAAATTCAACAAATCCCAAATTCCAAGATATTTAAATTTGAAATCATCCATCAATACTCAAAGCAAAATCCATCCACCCTCCACAATAATTTGCTGGGGTGGACAAATAAAAATCTACTTCAGCTCACAAAGAGCCAAATGCCTAGTCAAAAATATCACTAGAATCCATTCTCAAACAATCTCCTGCCAGTAAGGACGTGATATGTGTCCTCTAACCGACGGTCTGCCGCCAAATGGCACCGCAGGATAAACGGTTATCACATCACATATATACTATGAATTATTGAGTCATTCTCAAATTTATTGTATATTACTTTTTAACTAAAACAAATATTTAAGCCTGAGATAGACTTCCAATACTCATTTTAGTATGAAAATCTTTCACTATTAACAATACAATCATAATATTATAATTAATACTAAAATATAATTTGAATGCCTCAAATATCATTCAAAGAACATCAAATTTCCTCAACAATTTATTACACTATCTAAGGCAAGTCTCTATAATCTTAATCTTATCTGCCACTGAAGCTACTCCAACCTATCACGTGTATGCTCGTTTTGTATCTTGTCTCTAAGAGTAAAGCCACTCATCCACCTGTGCATTCTCATCTCTACAACACTTAAGTTAATATTATGCTTCTCTTTTAATGTCCAAATTCTATGCCAAAGCATTGCAAGTCTAGCCACCATCTTATAGAATATTCCCTTTAAATTTGAGCGGTACTTTTATATCACACAACAGGCCTGATGCATTCCTCCACTTCAACCAACCAACTTGAATTCTACTAATAATAACACCATCTATTTCACCATCACTCTGAACAATAGATCTAAGATATCTAAAACATGTACTCTAATTAATGACTTGATCGTTCAAAGTTACAAACCCCCCACTAGATATATTACTACTAAAATTATACTCATGTATTCAGTTTTAGATCTACTCGAATGGAAACCTTTAAACTCTAAGATTGACCTCCATAATTCAAATTTACCTTCAACTCCCTCTTTAGTATTATCAACAAGAAGAATATCGTCAGCAAAAAGCATACACCAGGGAACATCCTCTTGCAAATCTCTAGTAAGAACATCCATAACTAAAGCAAAAAGGCATGGGCTTAAGGTTGATCCTTGATGTAATCCAACTTAAATTGGAAAATACTTGGTCAAACCACCTTGTGTTTGAACACAAGTGACAGCTCTAGCATACATATCCTTAATGACTAGAATATAAGCATTATTAACCTCTTTCTTTTTTAGAACTCTCCATAGCAATTCTCTTGGAACTTTATCATATGCTTTCTCTAAATCAATAAATATCATATGAAGATCCTCCCCATTCTCTCTATACTTCTCCATCAAATCTCTCAATAAATGTATGGCTTCTATAATAGACCTACCCGGCATGAATCCAAATTCATTTTGAGTAACATTAGTATCATGTCATAACCTATGGTCCATAACTCTTTCCCATAGTTTTAAAGCATGACACATCAACTTAATTCCTCTAATTCGCACAATCTTGTGTATCACCTTTATTCCTAAAAATAAGAATCAATACACTCATTCTCCACACATTTGGCATCATTATAGTCTTCAAAATAATATTTAAAAAAGTTTAGTAAGCCAAGAAATTCCTTCATCTCCTAAGCATTTCCACACCTCTATTGGAATATCATCAAGTTCAACCGTTTTCCTACACTTCATTTTCTTTAAAGCCTCTCTAACTTCAGTTTTAACTTTTAGTAATACGCAGATAAAAATAAAAATATCTATTTTCATTTAGAATGCTAAGGTCACTAAAGTCAATCGTATTTTTCATTAAAAAGCTTAGCAAAATAACTACATCCACCTTTGTTAAATATCCTCTTCTTAAAAAAGCACTTTTTGATCTTCATCCTTAATGCCCTTTACTTGAACTAAATCCTTACTACTATCACTTTGTTAGGCTAGTTCATACATATATCTTTTGTCCTCTTTAGTATCTAATCTATTAAATAAAAAGTTAAAGTTTTTGCATCGAAGATTGCTTTCTTAAACTCCTTAGGAGCACCTTTATATCTTTCCCAATTTACAGAGTTTTTACATTTAAACCAACTTTTATAACAAAACCTCGTATTTTTTGTCTTTTCTTGCACATTTTGATTCCACTACCAACTATTTTTACTATTATAAGTTTTTCCTATTTATACTCCAAGCACATCTTTTGCAATATTCTTAATATTATATGCTACTATTTCCCACATAATATTCAATTTCTCATGCACCGACAAAATCTTAAGATCGTAAGTCTTACTCTCAAATATATTTATGTTAGAGTTCTTTAAATGTCATCATCTAATCTTAAAACAACAATTTACTATATTTTTCAAATTCTGTCCCTTCATCTTAAAGTCCAAAACTAATAAGGGATATTGGGTACAAAGACTTTTACTCGAAATAACTTTACAATCTTTGCAATCTACATGGTCAATTTTTCTTACAAGAAAATAATCAATCTGAGATTTATCATATACATTCTTATAAGTGATGAGATTCTCATCTTTTTCCTTAAAAAAGGCATTAATTACAAAATCATAAGCTAGAGCAAAATCTAATATAGTATTACCACTTTCATTAGTCTCTCACATGAATGATTTTAAAATCCTCCACCTCTCTACCAACATGTTCATTTAAATCTCCTTTAATAAAAACTCTTTCTTCAAGAAGTATCTTTTGTATTAATTCTTTTAAGTTATTCCAAAATTTTAATTTTGAATACATATCAAAACCTACTTGAGGAGCATAAACACTTATAATATTAATAATCTTATCATCAACAATAATCTTCAAAGCGATAATTTATCTCCAATTCTATTAATTTTTACAACATTATTTTTCAAACTTTATCTATAATCACACATACACCATTTCTAGCATGACTCCTACCAGAATAAATTAAAACCCTAAACTATCAATCTCCTTAACCTTCTCTCCCACCCATTAAGTTTACCGAATGCATAGAATATTTATCTTCCTATGAATCATAATATCAATTAATTCGAATAATTTGCCTCTAAGGGAACCTATATTTCAAGATCCTAACCTAATTTTAGTTTCATGGACTAACTTCTTTGCCCACATCCATCCATGATGTGGGAATCCTTGCCTATTTAACACTGCATCCAGGTGCTAATGCTACCCTTGCACACTTCTCATTGTATTCAGGCCATATAGCATATCCGTTCCAAGGAATGTCCTAGCATTAACACAATGTATTAAAAAATTCATGTCATGATTATTCGACAAGATTTATGCTAGTTGTCGACTACCTAAATCAACCCTGCACTTTTTTTCATCCAGGACTTGAGACCTGTCAATGACAGTGTTGATAAATATGAAATAAATATTAATAAAATATTAAAATGTTTTTAATTTATACATGTTATAAACTTATGTAGTTTAACCATTTTTATTTAAAAAATCTATGCGAAGAATTTTGAACTTAAAATACAATAGAACTTCAATAAACATTATTTTGGCCAAACATAATATAATTTGATGTTTATCATTTGATACTCTTCAAAAGTATCCAGCAAAATTAAATGAATTTATAAGTGGCCTAACTAATTTTTTTTAAGCTTCTCACTTAGCTTGACCAAGCATCTTAATGGCTACTAGCCTTCATGAATTCAGTAATTATATCAGATTGAGTGGCCTTATGCTCTTGTAGCACAGAACTCGAATAGATATCAAGCCTACTTAATAAGAATGTTTCTTCAAGTTAATAAAATGTTAAAATTATTTAGATATATAAATTTGCATGCTAAAGACAAGGCAATTCAGTTGAAGAGCACACAAAATACATAGATTTGATTGGATTGTGTACACATTACCAAACAAAAAAAACTACATAATTTTTTTCTATTTTGGATTTTTGGGTCTAAGGTAGAGGTAGACATGGTTAGAAATTATTAGAAATTATCTTTATTTTATTAGATGTAAACAAGAATTTGATTTTTAATCAGGATACAATGAAAAAAAAAGGATTCATATAGCCGACCCCATGTCATGGGATGAAGGCTTGATGTTGTTGTTGTTTGGATTTTTGGGTCTCATAAAATCTAAATTTGAAAAATCAAATAATGAAAGGTCATGATTTTGAATACATTGCATTATTGGACATCACAAATAATTACAAAAGTCATCTAAAGTCTTTTAGTCAACCTAAGCATTCTTCCAATATTACAACATAATTTTGCATCAAAATGAATAAGAAACTTAAGTATTTCACAGAAAAAAATGCATCATTGGAATTCAACTACAAGGAAGATAAACTAAAAGCATTCTTTAGACATAACACGAAAAACATATGATTCTTATACAGACTCAACATTCTGTTAGACCGGTCCAAGGAGGACCGGTCCAGCCGGCCCAGCCCCTTGGGCCGGCTTTGTTCGTCTACGCCAGGAGGGCCGGCGGACACAAGAAGAAGGGAGAGGGGTGGGGTCCACTTGGAGTTTGAATTGTTTCTTGGAGCCAAAAGGAGGGGAAGCAAGGGTAATTAGGTCCTTTTGTTTTAGATTTGAATTGTATGCATTAAGTAGGGGAGAAAAGGGGGGATTAGGGTTATGAGATAGTTTTGTGAAAGTTTTTCTTGTTCTTCTTTGGTGGCTAGGGCTCTAGATTGAATTCTAGAGATTGGGAGAGTGCGATCCTCCTCTCGAATAGAGGATCCTTGTATCTTTGCTATTTTCCTTTCATCTTCTAGTAAAATACAAGTTCTTACTTCGTGTTTCTATTGTTTTTCTCGCGTTTTCCCACTGTTTTGGCTGATTTCCTGCTTTGGACAGCAGTTTGCTGTGAGATCTTTGGCTAAAGTGATTAGGAAATTCTTGGAATCAAGTATTTCCTATCAAATTCCTGCTTAAAAGTTCAACAAGATTTACTGTTTGAGCAACACAAGATTGTTTCTGAAAATAACAACAACAACATCGAGCCTTTGTCCCACTATGTGGGGTCGACTACATGAATCCTTTTTCTATATTTTGTCCTGTTAATGGTCAAATTCTCATCTTTAGGGTTTAGGGTTTAGGGAGAATAGAATCAATGAGGACTTCTATGCGTAGGCCTTTTGTTTGATAAATTAGCCAAACATATTAAGAAATTGCAAAACTAATTACAATATGTAATTAAAGTCACTAAAAGTTAGAGACATTAAATTCTTAAGAGCATCTTCAAACAAGAATTCAGCATTAAAGAAACAATGCATAATTGAAGTCAATTAATGGAGAGATGAATAACCTGTTAGTCAACACAAGAGCCTTAGAAAGGTTGCTGCGAAAATGAGAAACAACAATAGATGCCACCTATTTTAAGGACAAAAGGCCTTCCATTGTTAGAAAAACTTCTTTAACAAACTAGAATTTTTTTTTTTTTTTAAACAAAACACATCCACAAGAATCATGCACCTGATTCATAGCAACATATGCATTACCCTTAAGCAGAAATACTCTGCGATTAGCAACAAGTTCTGGAACTTCTTCGAATGGCACCTATAATTAACAAATCCATCTCACACAAGCTCATATATATAACAAATCATAAATGAAAAAAAAATAATTGTAGATTGGAAAAAACTAACCTTGAAGAAGATTGTGTCAACTGCAAAAGAAGATATTTGCAAGAAATTTCAGCAAGCAGGTATGAAAATATATTTCAAAAACAAGGCTACATATGCTTTCAAATTTCAAACAATTCACAAGGATAATAGAAAAAACTTATAATACAAAAACTTTTCAACCAAGAATCTCCATGAGACTGCCTGGCAGCAGTAAAGTTGAGAGAAAGTAAAATGTCCCCTCTCCCATGTATACAACCGCTCCAACTAGACTTCTCCAACGAGCATCTTTGGGAGTATAGTTGGTGATAGCAAGGTATAGGCAAAAGAGAAGTGGGTAACACTAATATAATTTCATGAAGGTGAAGTGAGAATCAGAAAAATGAATATAGTAACTCCTCCATAGAGTCAATCAGTGTAGTTGCACCCAGCTAAATGCATTTATTTTCAAGATATTTTAGCCAACTAAACCAGCATTTCTCTACAGATTATATAATATCACTTTCAGTTTCAAGATTTGAGAAGCACAATTATCTCTTTCCAGATGAAATAACTGCCTCTACAAGCTCAAAAGATTATACTTATATAGATTTAGTTCTTTCATAAGTGTAATGTAAAGAAGTGAGTTCCAAAACAGAGTTTAAATGAACGCTTAGAATCTACAAAATATGAAGGTAATAAACACCAACACTTATAATAGGTTAGTATGATGTAAGTGTGAATTTACTGATAATCACTAAAAATAAGTTCATCAAAACGAAAGTAGCTTCTTAAAAATCATACAAAGAATTTTTTGGTGTTAAGTTAGAACTATGTAATTGACTATGTTCAAGTAATTTCACTGCAATAAGTAACCAAAGTTACCTTTCCTCATCCCTATTCACACAAAGGTAGACCAGGAAACTTAAAGGTAACAGGAAAGAAAGAAGATATTTCACCCACTGAATTATAAACTGGTCAATTAAATTAATAAATTAGGCTCAAGAAAGAAAAAGAGGTGGAAATATGCAAAACATACATCTGTGAATACATAAATATATATTATCATTAAAAATATGAGATAATGTCTGCTAAAAAATGAATCCATCAAAATTTGAGGATCAATCTAGACACACTAGAATGCTTGGCTGTTACACGCATGAAAATTTAAGCAACATTTGCAAGTCCAGATGTAAAGTTCATCCAAATTGAGCCAGGCGAAGATTAGATTTTAAAATTGCTTATGATTGAGTCTTAAGAAACAGCAAGGTCAATAACACATTCTTTAATATAATTTTCAGCTTAATTGATCATATTCTTTTGGAGCAGTCATAGTGGTAGACATATAAAATGTTGCTTCCACTATTATTTCAGAGAAAAATGTTACATAAATCCTTGATCAATCATAATATTAATAAACATTTGATAATCAACTAAAGCATTCACAAAAAAATTTTGCTTGCTCATTGTCGAAGGAGAAATTCATTTCGTTAGATAGTAAAGCGGTTTAGCAATGAATCAATAAGTTCACATGTGAGTATTTTTGTCTAAGAATTACGATTAAACTTCACTTGGGAATGGTTTAGATTTTGTAAAGCAGAGCATCATAATTGGGTCAATGCCTATAATTTTGGCCAATGAAAGGTTATGCAACATTTATTGGTAGGGTCCTGAAAAATGAAAATTTGTAAGTTAACTTTGATATATGATATAGTTTTGCTCCTCTTCTAGCGTTCTAAGCTGCCTATGGTACAAACTCTATATTTGATATGAATTTTTTAGCATTATTGACATTGCACTTTATATTTTATCAGTTCTTCCTTGACAATCAGTGAGCAATGAATAGACGAAGGTGTAAGTGTTAGGAAAGTTGCTATTTGCGTGTTTTACATTCTTGCAACTTGTATAGTTTTGATGATTCCAAATATTATTGTTTTATGTGTTGTTATCTCCTAACATTTTTTGGAAGATTTGTTTTTGCTCTTGTGTGGACTAACATTTCAGGACAATCGAACTCCAAACAAACGAAGACCTCAAAATCAATTCATCATGAAATACTCTATGATTTAAAGCTTGTACTTTTCTTTGAAATAAACTTGAAATGGAGTGATTGTAAATTGAGTGAATTAAAACACACACACTTAAGGAGATCTTAAATATTTTGTACTGATCGTACGGGACGAACATAGTTCGTACGGGACGATCA